AGATGGGCAGGTCTGGGTGGGCCCCAGCCGCAGGCAGCAGGTGGAGTTCAGCCGCGTCCCCATTATCTTAACCCATCTCTTGCCTCTTGTCACAAAGAATTAAAATCCGTAATAAGAACATGTAAGAGCTCCCCATAATTGTGTGGCCATTAGCCGACTGCACGGGGTGTCAGTCTAGCCATCTCACTCCGGTCCCAGTGAATTGTGATAAAAATGTCAAACAATTAGATTATATTGGCCACTAGCACAGTGATGAGTAGCCAGGCAGGCGTGTCCCTCGAGTCACCCTAACAGTAGGAGTGGCTCTGCGCCACGCTAAAGCCACTCCAGGACAGCAGGACGGGCCGATGGGGGTCAGCACGTCGGCCCAGCAAGCGGGAGCATCCCAGGAACCCACGCCCCAGAGGGGCAGGGGAGGGTAACCCCTGGGAACAGGACAGAGGTGGGGGGCCCAGGCCCCTCTGAGGGTGCAGAGCCCTGAGCTCAGCAAGGAAGGGCAGGGAGCTCCCAGGGCCCAGCCCTGCACGTGGGAAGGGGGCTGGGAGGGGGATGAGCAGCTGACCGACCCCAGAGCCTCAGGTCCACCCACTTGCCCGGGTCTCCACGGCCCTGTCCCCACGGCGCTGTCCCCACGGCGCTGTCCCCTCGCAGGACTCTCGCTCCTCCTGCCCTTCCCAGGAACCACGGCTGCCTTTTTTTCTTACAGGTGAAGATGTATTGGAAATTGATTTCTGTGTTGGAAATGGGATAATTAAACTGGTTGTTTCCATCTTCATCATCGTCATCATAAAAAGAGGACAGCCGGGTGAGGCTGGCGTGAGGTGACACCCACGTCTCGCACGAGGGAGCATTAATTGAATACAAATGGCCTCTCCTGGAGTTGCTGAGTTATATTTCAGAGATATGGGATAATGATGCCATTTAATCATTTTTACAAGATATAAAATTACTGGCTCCTCTGGGAAGATCATTAAGGAAAACAATTGTTCACAGCAATTGAAGATAGAGTTTTAATTATTTAACACAGAAATTAAACTATTAGAGACCAGTGTTGGATGAGGCAACTTAATAGAAATTTATATACAAGCATCTGTGAACATTTTAGTTTTATTAACCCGCCTAATTCCTTCATCCAAATCCGTCTGAAAGGTCTCTTGGCTGTGCCTATAAGCCGCGGCCCAGAGCCCCTGTGTTTCCGGGGAGGACAGCCAGGGCGTGGCTCAGGGGACAAACCGGGAGCTCCAGGAACCCAAGGGCGCCAGGACAGGCCCCCAGGCTGCAGGGGAGGGCCTGAGGCTGCCAAAGCAGGGAGAGGCGGAGTGGGGTAGGGGTCAGGGGGCGGCAGGTGCACCTGGGGATTAAAAGAGGAACGACTGCAGGGTGCTGGCCACACCTTTTGGCCTTCCCTCGGCCTTTTGGGTGGGAACTTCGGGGACCCACCTTCCAAGCTACACGTGTGTGACCCCAGTGGGTATGGGACGGGGAGCACCAGCTGTGCCCAGGCCCCCCAGCCCACTCTGCTGTGGCGCAGACCTGATGGGGCCCTGTCGCCCCACCCTGTCCAGAGAGGCCCCCTCCGCCAGTGCAGTGAGGGGCCGAGGCTGCGTTCCAGAGACGGGGCTGCCGGGACTCACACTCCTTTAGAGGGTCCTTGCCAGGTGCTTGTCGCAGGGTCAGGGGCGCTTTAAACGAGGACTCGGACTTGACCATCTCCAAGTGGGGAAGCTGGGAAAGGTACTAGAGACACAGCACAAGCTTCACTGTGCAGGAACGGAGGCTGACGGGAGCCAGAAAGGACCCCTCAACATTGCCGTCTGGTGTGGCTTTGGGTGCGCGCTATGAGGGAGCGCTTCCTAAAAACCCTCGTTCTAAATGTGTAAACATTTTCCATCTGTCAACTAATAAATGGACATTTTTAGAGGGTGGAAGAACTGAGGGCACCAAATTGGGCAGCTAGTTAGGGGTGCCCTCCACCCACCTGGGACCCGAGCGGGACGAGGCCTCGTGGGAGGGAATCCCCAGGGCTGGAGGGAAGTCACCTCGCCCAGTATGCAGTCAGGAAGCTGGGGGCGGCCCCCAGCCTGGGCACAGTGAGCCTCACCTCGTGCTCTCCCGAAGGCCTGGGCCAGGTTTCCAGCTGCTTTCCAGGGAGAAGATGGGGCTGCCGAGCGTGTGGCCTGGGGCCTGTGCTCACTCGGTCACTGCCCAAGTGGGGACAGCAGTGCAGGAGGGTCCCTGCCTCGCCCATCCCGAGGGAGGCCTGGGCTGGGGGCCCGCCGGCTGGTTTCGCATCTCCTGGAAGTCCCGGCCCCCACAGTCCGAGTGATTTCTGCAGTGTGCTCAGGGCCTGCAGGCTGAGGGCTGACACCGCGAGACCACCCTCCGTCCCCCATCATCTCCAATAAATTCCAAGCCTTCTGCTCTTGCCTTATAGTTTTTAGGGTTACATAAATTTCACTGATGCAATTTTTTTATGCTTGAATATATTACAGAATGCCACTTCTGTTATGGAAGTTAATTGATAACGTGATTTGTTATGTTGCTGGGACATAATTCAGAAAGTTATTTTAAAGCCTGTGATGCATGGAACAGCACTCACTGTTTAATATTTCTCACATGCGTGGACACAGCGCAGGGTAAAAAATGTGGTACTGCACGGATGAAATATTTCCAGAAGCTTTTATTCTTGTTGTTTGGGTGGGCGCCAGCAGCTCCATAGAAGGGAACCCATATTTCCAGCACAGCTCTGATTTGAATTTATTTCCTGGTCATTAGTTAGCTTTTTTTTTTTTTTCCTAAACTGAAACAAGTATGTGTATATATTTGAAAAAAGAAAAATCAAACAAAAAAGGGAAATCACACATAACCTTTCAATATTATCAAAGATGTGCATTTAAAATTTTTATGTCAAATTAATGATAGATTCACAGGAAGTTGCAAAAACGGTGCACGGCGCCGCATGTCCGCTCCCCGGCTTCGCCAGCGATGACACGGCACAGCTGCAGCAGGCGGCAAAGCCGGGACGTGAGACTGGTTCACGCTCTCGGTGAACTGCGGGTGCCGTGGTCTGTTTTCACCGCTTGTACAGGCGTTCCTTCCTCAGGTAGGGATGGGCGTTGCTGCCACAATCAAGACACACAACTGGTGTGTCAGCCGCCGGCCCCCGTGCCAGGCGCACTCACTGTGCAGTGCTAGAGCTCGGCCGCTCTGAGACACTCTGCAAGCCGCACCCTTCCATGGGTGAAGCTGCTGAGGCTGGCTTCGTCTTCAGCCCAACTCCCGGAGGTCTGACCGGGCCGGAGCCACCATTCCTTTGCTTCTGTTGCTGGGCAGTGTTAACCCCGAGTGGACAGAGCAGGGTTTGACCGTTTGCTTGTGGATGGACACAGGATTGCTATAAACACTCGTGTGTGCATTTCTGTGAAAGTGTATTTCCCGCCCTCTGGGCTAAACACCTAACAGTGCAGTTGCTGGGTTTCGGCTTGACAAGAATCAGGTAAACTGTTTTCCAAAGAGGCTGCACCACAATGTGTGAGAGCCCATTTCCTGGTGTCCTCACCAGCATTTGATGTTATCCTTATTCTTTTTTAAATTCCAGCTATAGGAATAGGTACATAGACCTTTTTTTTTCTTTTTTTCTTTTTTTTTAATTTGAGACGGAGTCTTGCTCTGTCGCCCAGGCTGGAGTGCAGTGGCACGATCTCGGCTCACTGCAAGCTGTGCCTCCCAGGTTCAAGTGATTCTCCTGCCTCAGCCTCCCGAGTAGCTGGGACTACAGGTGAGCACCACCATGCCCAGCTAATTTTTGTATTTTTAGTAGAGACAGGGTTTCACCATGTTGACCAGGATGGTCTTAATGTACTGACCTTGTGATCCACCTGCCTCGGCCTCCCAAAGTGCTGGGGTTACAGGCGTGAGCCACTGTACCTGGCCCATAGACCTATTTTGGGCAATTTTGGGGCCACCTGTCCTGACCCAGCTGTCTGGGCTCTCTTTGGCCTGGTGTCAGTGCCCCGCAGCAGCTGGATGGGTGCCCAGCTGTGCGCGTGGGCTCCACGGGCGCCGTGTGGGCAGGAACGCCTTCAGCAGACCCTTCCCTCCCTCACGGCGCGTTGCCCCTGCTGCCCCATCAGACATGGAGGAGATTCTGCGGTTGCACAGGCAGCCTTGGCCTCACGTGACTCCTGCACTGAGCTCCTGTTGCCCAGGGCGGGAGGGGGCTGCCCCTCTGCCTTCACATTTCAGTTCCCAGGCTGAAGAAACAGCCCCACGCAGAGGGCAGGCAGGAGCGCCGGCGGGAACACGCGAGGCTCGCCCGCTGGCCCTTCAGGGCTTTCCTGGGCCTTCTCCTGTTCTTGGCCAGAGCCCATGTGTGTGGCCAGAGGGCGGGTCCCCAGAAGACTCTGCAGGCCCCATGGTCCTCCCATGGACCCCCAGCCCCCACCCATCTGGCTGAGGTGGAGAGACAGACCCAGAAGCTCAGGAAGGCCATCTGGAGGCACCTTTCCTCCCCCAGAGCCCCTAGACGCCGCAGCCACCAGGAGTGTGCGCGGAAGAAAAGCATCTCCTTACGAGAAGCTCTGCATGGTGCTTGCTGGCACAGACCCCCCGCCCCGCCACGAGCCTCCTTGTTCTGGAAGGTTCCTTCTGAGGGGCCCTGCACATGTGCAGGGGACGTGGCCTGGGCTGGAGTGAGCCCCGCCCCCACCTCCACGCTGGAAAGCTGCTGGGTTCAGGGGGCGCATTTCTCGCGGGCCAGCGTCCCAGAAGGTGCTGGGCCAGGAGCCCCCCACCCGGAGCCTCAAGTCACAGAAACCACACACAGCGACTGGCTTTTGTTGTTCACTGAAACACTCAAATCAAAAACAGGCTCACAGTCCAAACAGTGCTTCTGGTCTGAGCAACTCAGCACTAGTGCCCGGTGCAGCGCTGAGAGGCTCCGTCTGCTGGGGCTCTGAGCCGTGCACCGGGCACCTGGAGACCCTGCCGGGGGTGCCTCACCCCAGGGAAAGGCGGTTTTGCCGGAAGTCACTGGGGAAGGATCTCTGGCTGAGGCTGCACCGAGGGCTGGGTAGAGGCCCAGGAAGGGGAGAGAGAGCTGGGAGCTGGGGATGGGAGCCAGGAGGTGGGGGTGGGTTGGTAGAGGGGCAGAGCCAAGGGCAGAGGCAGGTGCTAGGGCCACAGCAGCTGACGGGAGGCAGGTCCAGGCCTGTGCTAGCCAATGGCGTGGTGCGGCAGCCCGTACAGGACCAAGTTGAGCGTGGTGGGGAGTAGCTCGGCGCTCTGGAGCAGCAGCAGCTTGTCCTTCAAGGTCTGAGAAGCCTCGTCTGTGGAGAAAGGGGCGGGAGCTGTGAACCCTGAGGCCCCGCAGGACGTCCAGCCCGGTGAGGGCCAAGGCACAGGCGCAGAGAGCGGCGGCTCCAACTGAGGGCGCTGTGGGGAACACACTGCCATTCGCCAGGCCTCCCAGGTGCCCCCACCACCCACACCCCTCCCGCACCGAGGTGTCCAGGCCCGCACAGCCGGGGGATGGCACCAGGACTGGACCTCCTAACCCGAAGCCAAGTGTCCCCCCGCTACCCCTCGGCCAGGCGAGCTGCTCTGCTCGGGGGGCGCCCATCTAGGGTGTGGCTGCAGCCTTAGCAGGGTTGCCTTGCAGGGAGCCGCGTCCTCTGCCCCTTTTGAACAGTGTCAGTCACCCGGGCTCATGCCTGCATTGCAGGGACCAGAACTTGCAGGTCACCACTGAGCAACAGCAGCTGAACAGCTGGCCTGGCTCTGCCCTTCCCTGATTCCCCTGCAGAGCACCGTGTGGGCCTCACACCAGCCACACCACCGCGGCATCCGTGTCTGCAGCATCCGTGTCTGCGCCCTGCTCTGCATTTGCAGGGATGAGTGTGGGTTCCGTCCGCCTTCCTCCTGCCCCTCGCTCCCGCCCTCCCCCGACAAGCAGGGATCCTTGGGCCCGGCATCCCCGGACCGTAGACCGCGTGCTCTTTACACGATAAACTCCTGGTGAGCAGTGGATACTGAAGGAATTGTGGGAAGCCTTCTTAGTCAGGGCAGACCGCCCCTTCCATGCACTGCTGGGCACCTCAACTCAGGGTCCCGGGAAGCTCCTCTGTGGCTCCTCCCGCCTCACCGTGGTGGAGGGTTTGGCTGACTCTGAAGGATGGCTGGGTGGGGTTCCGCCTGTCCATGTTTGAGAACAGACTATGTCCCATGCCCCTTCCTGACTTTTGCCCTGTGAGGCCCAGAGAGGGACGGGCGCTGGGTGCCATGTGACAGGCAGGGCCCAGAGAGGGACCGGCGCTGGGTGCCATGTGACAGGCAGGCTGCTCTCCAGGAGGCCAACGGGGCACACCCCTCAACCCACGCATGCCTCTTCCTGGGCTGGGACTCCTGGCCATATCCAGAGGCCGTCGGGCACTGTGGTGAGGCTGTCGGCCCCTGCCAGGCACAGCTGCCTCCTGGATTTCCCACCGGTTCCCAGAGAGCCCTGGGCTCGAGGGGATTGTGTGACTGGAGCTGTCAGCGAGGAATCAGCTGTCTGACGAGCGTGATGCTCTCCCTCTGGGCTCTGGAGCCCCGTGGTGTTGTGGGCCGTCGCTGCCACCGTGGGGGGCTGGGCAGGGCAGAGACGCCGGCAACTTCCAGGCAAGCACAAGCCCTCCCCCTTCCCGGCTCCTAGTTAATGTCGGGAGTCCCAGGTCCCCACAGAGAAGCGGAGACACCTGTCCCCGCAGGGCTGTGGGGTGCACATGCCCCACGGGCAGCGGCTGCAGAGGGTGCTGAAGGCTGCGGGGTGCAGGCCGCCCCCCCCACCTTGGTTCACGGCCTCCTCGCCAGTCATCTTCTGAAGGAGGCGCACCGTTTCTCCAACCGGCTTCCCGACGGCCAACAGATCTGGGAGAGAAGCGTCCCCTCAGGCAGGCGTGGACACCCTGGCAGCCTTGCTGAAGGGGTGCGGGACAGACCCGGGTGCCCGGGGCCCACGCACTTTCCCACAGGACGCTGGCCCGCAGCGCGTTGTCCTGCAGCAGCGTTGGCCACTGGTTTGCCAGGATGCTCTTGACACCCACCAGGCTCAGCAGGATGGCCTCCTCGACGGGCTCCTCCAGGGACAGCTGTGAGGCGCTGTGGAGACCCGGCTCCCGTGGGCTGGCGCCAGGGGCCCAGCCGAGTCGCCCCCTCCCCATGCACACCTCACCAATTGCTGGAACGCATGTGCGCCCCGACAGCTCTCGCCGTTCTTGAAACCCGCCCCTGCAGGCCCCTGCTCCCTCGTGGGTCCCATGCCCATCTGACTTCGCCATCCTCAGCACCCCGCCCACCCACTCCGAGCAGCCAGGCACCTCCTGTGCTCCACGGTCTCCATGTGCCGCCTCAAGCTCTGGTAGGACCGCGCCAGGTCCAGCAGGACCGCCACCTGGCACTCTGCCGGGGTGGGAAGGGTGGGAAGGGCGGCTCAGCAGCCTTGGCCCGACACGGGGAGCGGGGGTGGGGGTGTGGGCGAGTGGGGCCTGCACCCCCAGGGCGCGATAGGGCATGGCACGCTGGCCACTCACTTCCAGGCTCTGACCTCATGACCGTCAGGTTCTCTGCAGGGACCCCCTGGCCACAGTGGACCTGGCCAGCCTCAGGAGCCCAGGCCCTTCACAGCCTCCTCCAGGTGCTTGTGCTGGGCAACAGGGAGTGTGGGAAGCCCACCTGGGCCCCCCAGCTTCCTCGGCGCCCGCACCATGCCTGGATGCCCTGGCACCCCACATGAATGAGGTGTATGAGGTGGAGCCCTCCCCAAGGACGGAGGGACGGGCTGCTGGGGGGCAGCTCTGACTGGGGGCCGATGTGAGGGGCCACGTGTCCCTGTGTGGTGCAGACATGGGAGGCTCCTGGGATGCAGGGGAGTCCTGGGCACTGGGGATGGGTTGGTCACCCTGGCCTGGGGCCTCCATGGAAGCAGGGACCAGGGGCCAGTGCAACCCTGGGCGTGCCTGCTGCGGGCCCTGTGGGTGCCAGGGGATGGCTGCCCACTTCCACTGGCAGCCTGGCCGTTCCTGCTGAAAGGACCCCCAGCTGCGCAAGGCCGAGGCTGCGGGGGAGTCGGGGGAGCCCTGGCGAGGCCTCTTCTGCTTCACTCACTGCCTCGCTTGGAGTTAAACTTTCAAAGACGCCCGTTTCTAACTCCACCTAGGATGGGCTTCTAGTACCTCTGAGGCCAAGGCCCAGGCTTGCAGAGCAGAGTGGGGGTCCTGCTTGGCCCCACCCAAGTGCAGGCCCCAGGTGCCAGGTGCCACGGGACAAGGGTCCACACACCTGCTCTGCTCCATCAACAGGGCCCACATACCTCATGGGGGGCACAGCGCCTCCCAGGTCCCTGAAGGGCTCCCGTCAACCCCGCACAGTGGGGTCATCAGCAACCCCACCAGAGAAAGTCACAGCGAGTGGGCCGGCCCCGCAGAGGGGGCATCCAGAGGGGGCATCCCGGTGGGGCTGCAGCCACAGGAGCTGAGTCTGAGTGGTGGCCTTGGCACAGGGCTGAGCCACGCCTGTCTCCTGAGCACTCGGCCTGCAGTGTCGAGTGGCCGCGCCTCTTGTCTCCGTCAGCGCCACCCTCAGGCCGTGGCATGTGACGGGGTGATGTGCCCCCACGCATGTGCTCTGCTTATGCCATGCCCCCAGCCTGCTGTGCCATCCCCACCTCCTGCCAAAAGCCCCCTTGTGCTGGAGCTCCTGGGGTGTCACTGTGCCGGGCACGGCAGGACCATACCTGGAAGCCCCTCCACGGCTGGTGGACAGTGAAGGGGAAGGCAAGGTCCCAAGTGCCTATGATTAGACTAGAGGAGCCCTGAGGGAGGGGCTGTGACCAGTGAGGTCCTGAATTGCCCACCCCAGCCTTCCTGGGCTCCTGGGCCCAGCACTGACTCCTGGCCTGCCAGGTCTGAAAAGCCGGGCTGGGCGGAGTGGGGGCACTCAGAAATGAAGGACGGGAAGGCCAGAAGCTCCTGTGGCTTCCACGTCTGTGTGGGCCAGGCAGGGGGAGCAGGGGTGAGCAGAGGTCATCCACCTGCAGACAGGAGGGGCTGCGGCCACAGAGGGTGGGGGGCAGGTGGGGGCTGCGGCCACAGAGGGTGGGGGGCAGGAGGGGGCTGCGGCCACAGAGGGTGGGGGGCAGGTGGGGGCTGCGGCCACAGAAGGTGGGGTCAGGAGGGGGCTGTGGCCGCAGAGGGTGGGGGCAGCACCAGCAGGTTACAGTGGCCCTGCTTTGTCCTCAGGTGGATTTGTGCTGTGCCCCTGGGGGAAGGGGTGCCAAGAGGACCCCTCTCACCTTGCAAGTTCATGGCGACCAATCTCTCCACTAATATATGGGACAGGAAACTCTCCATCCCATAGAAGAAGAAGCCGTTGCAGCTGCCCAGGGCCTGCTCCCACTGGGCCTGGCTGCAGAGAGAGGAGAGTGCGGGTCAACAGTGCGCAGGCACCTACGCCAGACCCCACCGTGGGTTCTTAAAGCAGGCCACATCCTGTGTGGTCCACGCCTGTCCCACTTGTGCGTTCAACTGAACTTTCTTTCTTGTTCCCAATGCCCACACCTCCCTCCTCTGTGCTCTGATCACAGGGGTTCCGTCAGAGCCTAGTCAAGGGGACCCCCCCAGGAGCACTGACTTCTGTACTGGAATGAACACCCTCCCCGGGCGGGGCTGGCTGCGGGAAGTGTGGGGGCTTTCCCAGTGGCCCAGCATGTGGAGGTCAAGGCACCCCCAGTACTCCAGGGAGACAGTGGCCAAACCCGGGTTCCCTCCTTCCATACAGGACCCCAGCCTTGCCCCTGCAGCGCCCCCCTCTGCACACACCTGCCCTTGCACACACCTGCCCCTGCAGCCTCGCCCCGGCATGGAGCCTGTGACATAGAGCGACCCCTCCCACCTGTGGCTCTCCCTGGTTGCTCTGGTTCCTTGCTAGCTGCTTGTGGACACCTCTGGACCACAGAACCCCGAGGGCATCTGGGGGGCAGAGTCTGCGAGTGGTCTCTGGAGGGTCTGCAGTGCTGGTGGTGAAGAGGCAGCCCCTGCTGCTGGACCACGTGCTATCGGTGACCCTGGGGGCCCCAGGTTGCCATCTGTAAAGTGGGGACAGTGCCCCTCGCCCAGTCTCTGTGAGGACTCAAGGAGCTGGGTCTGTCTCAGCATCGCATGCTGCACCTGGTGGGACTTGCAGGGCAGACCCAGGGAGCTGGGGGTGGGGGGCAGTGGCTCCCCGCTGGACCCTCGAGACCTGCCACACTGTAAACGACTCCTGGGAGCCCAGATCCGAACCTGGGAAAGTGCTTGCTTCCCAGATGTCCCACCCATCGCGAAGTGAATGTGTCTTGGAATCTTTCCAAAATGTCTTGGGTGACGGAGACAGGAGTCAGCATTTCTGCAAGGAGAATGGGGTGGATACAGACCACGGTACTTCATCAGACACACGTGTGCAGGGCCGGGGCCCTGGGGAGGGGTCACGGTGAATGCAGGCGGATGTGTCAGTGCCCTGCCATGCCCTGTGGGGTGATGGTAGAACCAGGCCAGCCGAGAGAAAACCCCAACAAATTAAAATATTTAAAGCCAAAACAGGGCAAGTACATGTGCAGATTTGGGAGCCTCGAGGAGTGGGGCACCAGCTGCTGCCCACGACTGCAGGGTGGCAGGAGGCCCGAGGCTGGCGTGTGCCTGAACAGGGAGCCCTGTGCAGCACCCACCTGGGCCCTGGGCCTCCTCGTATGGGTCCACGATGACTGGATCCTGGTCAAGGAGAAATGGGAGCACAGGGTGGGGTCTCGGTCCCCCCACTGGGGCTCATCAAAGGATACACTTGAAGTTGTCGGAGTCGACTATGATGCAGTCAGCGGGGATGGTCCGGGGGACGCTGCCCTGCAACCACAGAGCAGGGTCACGCCAGGTGCAGGGGCCCGAGCCCGACCTCCAGGTGTGCCCACCAGCCCGATCCCCCACCACAGACCCCCACCTACCTTCCTGCCCTTCTTCACTAGGCTTCTCTTTTTGGGGTCTCTGCTTCTCCCCTCCTTTTTCACGCCACCTTCTGTTGAAGACAAGAAAGAGGCAGGGATGTTTGGCAGCAGCTCGAGGCAGCCGTCCGGCCACACTGTCGGTTAATTTCATGTTATGCAAATTTCACTTCAATGAAAAAACACAAGTTGTGAAAACAAGCAATTTTAATTTTTGTGAAGTTGACATGGCAATAACTTCTGAAATGCAAAGGTTCACAGGGTTGGGGAAAGTCCTCAAGGAAGAACCACTCTCGAAAGGCTCCAAGGCCCACCTGGCTGCCATTCACACACCCCACTGGGCACTCACCAGTGTGCCTGCCGTGCCTGGGCCCCTCACTGGTTCCAGGGCCTTCTGTACAGGGATTTACAACCGGCCCCTTTCTACACGAACACTTTCTTTTGCAGGCTCTGCATAGACAGCCATGTGCCTGGGAAGGATGGCCACTTCCCTCCTGTTTGTGCCCCGTCTTTTCTTTCCTTTCTGTGTGCCTATGTTGGGGCCTCCAGCAGACAGCAGAATGAATGCATGGATGGGGCTCACTGCTTCACCCCCTTCAGAGAAGCTGCTTCTAAGGGAGCCCCATTAAGAAGGAGGCTCTCTCTAGCTTTTGATGGATTTCTTTATCAGGATGGGGCATTGCGTTCAGTTCCTGGCTCACAAAGTAAATGTGTGCGTTTTATCAAATGCTTTCACCCTGCGCTGACTGAAATGCTCACACGACTGTTCTTCTGGGACACCTGCAGTGTTTTAAGGTTAAACTGGGGCCGGGCACAGTGTCTCACGCCTGTAATCCCAGTGTTTTGGGAGGCCGAGGTGGGACGATCACTTGAGCCCAGGAGTTCGAGACCAACCTGGGCAACAGAGTTAGCTCCTGTTTCTAAAAAACACCTAGCTGGGAATGGCGTCCTGCATCTGTAATCCAGGCTATTCGGGAGGCTGAGGTGGGAGGATGGCTTGAGCCCAGGAGGTGGAGGCTGCAGTAAGCTGTGGTTGTATCACCGCACTCCAGCCTGGGTGACACCCCAGGCTAGAAGTGGGAGCGAGACCCCGTCAGGAAGTGGGAAGAAGGAGAGAGAAAAGGCTAAACTGAGTGATGACAGCTTATCTTTTTATGCATTTTTTGTGCCGTTCTGGAGCATCTGGGAGGAGTTAGGCTGGCTTAGGGAAGGATGGGAGGAGCTGTCTACTTTTTCTGATACTGGGGAGATTTATCTAATGCTGACATGATTGTTTCTTGACAGTCTGGCAGAATTCAGTGGAAACATGGAAAAAAGGATATATTTTTTGTGGGCAGACTTAAATCCATCGATGTGCTTTTTTATTGGTTATGAGACTATTCAGGTTTGCTTTCTTCCTGGCATCTCAAAGTGTTTTCTCCTAGTATTTTGTCCTTGCTGCCCAGGGGTTTTGCTACGTTGGTTCAAAGTTGCTTGGAGACTCCCACATTCTCTGGTCGCCTCTGGTGTGCCGTCAGGGCTGTGTCTCCTTCCGTTTCCGGCTTTCTTGGCTGCTCTTCTCTGTGGCATCGGAGATGTTTCCTCGGCGTCATCTTGGCTGCTTTCTGCACGTGCTCCTCTGCTCACCCTGAGATTATTCTGCCTCCTTGCTCTGACTTCTTCTTTTTTTGAGACGGAGTCTCGCTCTATTCCCCAGGCTGGAGTGAGTGGCACCATCTCGGCTCACTGCAAGCTCCACCTCCCGAGTTCACGTCATTCTCCTGCCTCAGCCTCCTGAGTAGCTGGGACTACAGGCGCCCACCACCATGCCCAGCTAATTTTTTGTATTTTAGTAGAGATGGGGTTTCACTGTGTTAGCCAGGATGGTCTCAATCTCCGGACCTCGTGATCCACCCACCTCGGCCTCCCAAAGTGCTGGGATTACAGGCGTGAGCCACCGCACCTGGCCAACTCTGACTTCTTAAATCAGGTGCTGAGCTTCTGAATTCCTGGTGCTTTTCCTATTCTAACATTGACATTTATAGCTGCAGTACCTTCTAAGTTATGTTTAGCAACATCTCGCTAGTTTTTGACATTTCCATGATCATTTCATTTCTTCTGAGTCTCATGAGATATTTAGAAGTGTGGTCTTGAATTTTCAAGTGTGTGAGGATGGAAAAAAGTCTGCCTTGGAGAACTGCTTTCCGCCCGCCTCACACTGGCCTCAGGTGTGGACTGTCTGCCAGCGTCTGAGACACGGTAGGATCTGCTTCTCAATTTTGTGATTATTCCCAGCGTAGCTGAAAAGACTGCAAATCTCCACTTTTGAGGCACAGAGTTCCATGTCTCTATTAAGCCAAGATTGTTAATTACGTTACGTCACCCCAAATCCCCTTTTTGCTTTGTCTGTCAGACCCGTCAGTAATCCAGGCACGGTAAGATCTCCCAGCGTCGGGGCTGGTCAACGGCCACACCCCGCAGTTTCTGCTTTTTATTGCTTCTTGTATTTGGAGGCTATTTCATGTCTCTGAGGTGGTGGACCTTCGATTCTCATGGTGTCCATGTCCCTAATAATGCCTGGCTCTGAAGTCTGTTTCCCTTGAGAGTCAGACACCAGCCCTCCGGGTTACTCTTAAATATTTACTCATTTTCGCTTCTCTTGGTTTATCACGTGGGGGTCACTTGCGATGGGCGTGTTCCTGCAAAGGGCATGCAGCTGCATCCTCTTATCTCCCGTGTCGTCTCGTTAGCAGGGTTGGCCAATTTACCTTTTCTGATATACGACATAAATTGGCCAACTTCTACCATCTTACTGTTTTATTTTTATTTGTCCTGGTTTTCTACGTGTTTCTCCATTACTGGCTGTTGGATGCCTTGATTGAGGTAACTGGCCCATTCGTCTTCCTCATTCATTCTTCCTTCTCTATTCTTTGGGAGTTTGCACACCAGCTCTCTGGTGGTGCCCTTAGTGTTTTACCATGCGGTGCGGGCACACCTGGCAGCGCCCCAGACTCAGTGGTTCACGGCTGAGGACACTCAAGGCTCAGCCTATCTCTTCCTTTTGTGGCCGCTGAGTAATGCATTTCAAAAAGACTTAGATCACCGGCAGCCCGGTTTTCAGTTACTCTGTGGTGAGGGTTCTGTTAGTTTCTGTGGCTGCCGTTAACCAATTACTACAAACGGGGGCTAAACGTGGCACCGCTTCCTGTCTGATGGTTCTGGAAATCGGAGGTCCGAATGGGGTTCACCGGCTCACAATGGCGCGCCGGCCCGGCCACCCTCTTCCTGGAGGCTCCCGGGGAGAATCCGTTCCTGGCTCCCGGCCACGCTCTCCATCCTCACCATCCGCAGCACAGCCCCCAGGCTCTTTCTCTGGCCTTCCTGCTTCTCTCGTGTGAGGGCTTTGTCATCACCTGGGCCCTCCCATATCTGCAGGATCGTCTCCCACCTCAAGTCGGGAATCGTATCTGCAAAGCCCCAGGACCATGCGACGTCGCAGGCTCACAGGCACCGGGGCTGGGCCGGGGGCACCCCTGGGCGGCCCGTGCCACGCTGTTGTTAGAGTGTCTGGTCCGGCTGCTGCTTTCCTGTTCCGCCCCTGCCACGACGGTGGTGGCTGCGCCGGGCCGCAGGGAAGGGAAGGATGTTTCAATAAGCGATGCACAGACAGCTGGATCCCCTCAGAGAAAAAAACCTTAGATTCCACCTCCCACTCCACAGAGTCCATCTCAGATGGCAGTTAGGTGGAAACGTGAAAGGTGGGAAACGAGAAATGCATTTAGAGGATGTCATTGGAGAATATTTTCATGATCATGAGGTGAAGAAAGATTTAAAAATCCCAAACACACCTAATGACAAACCACAGCTAACAGTGAAAAGCACAAAGCTTTCGCCTCAGATCAGAAACAAGGCAAGGAAGCCCACTCTTGACACTTCTGTTTAAACAGCGCTGGAAGTCCCCGCTGGAGCAGTCAGGAAAGAAAGAGAAATAACAGGCCAGGCGCGGTGGTTCACGCCTGTAATCCCAACACTTTGGGAGGCTGAGGTGGGTGGATCACCTGAGGTCAGGAGTTTGAGACCAGCCTGACCAACATGGGGAAACCCCATCTCTAATAAAAATACAAAAATTAGCTGGGTATGGTGGTGTGCACCTGTAATCCCAGCTACTTGGGAGGCTGAGGCAGGAGAATTGCTTGAACTCAGGAGGCAGAGGTTGCAGTGAGCTGAGATCATGCCACTGCACTCCAGCCTGGGCAACAGGGCGAGACTCCATCTCAAAAAGAAATTAAAAAAAAATTTAAAAAAGAAAGAGAAATGACAGGACACATCAGAAAAAAAGATGTGAAATTATCTGTTTGCAGATAACAAGCTCTTATATATACAAGACCTCAAAGACTCCACCAGAAAACTGTTAGAACTAATAAATTAAGTAAAGTTGCAAGATACAAAATCAACATACAAAAATCAGTATTTATATACATTACCAATGAACTATCTGATTAAGAAATTAAGAAAACCACCTTATTTCTTTTTCTTTTTTTTTTTTTTTGAGAGGGAGTCTCGCTCTGTCGCCCAGGCTGGAGTGCAGTGGCCGGATCCCAGCTCACTGCAAGCTCCGCCTCCCGGGTTCACGCCATTCTCCTGCCTCAGCCTCCCGAGTAGCTGGGACTACGGGCCCCCGCCACCTCGCCCGGCTAGTTTTTTGTATTTTTTTAGTAGAGACGGGGTTTCACCGGGTTAGCCAGGATGGTCTCGATCTCCTGACCTCGTGATCCGCCCATCTCGGCCTCCCAAAGTGCTGGGATTACAGGCTTGAGCCACCGCGCCCAGCCGAAAACCACCCTATTTCTAATAGCATCAGAAAGAATAAAATACTTAGGAATAAATTCAACTATGAAGTGAGAGATCTGTGCCTTGGAAACTGTAAGACACTGATGAAAGAAGTTGAAGGAGACATAAATAAATGGGAAGATATCCTGTGTTCTTTGATTGGAAGAATTAATATTTGTAAATGCCCATAAATGCCACATCTTAAAGTACCAGCTATTAAGAAAAAGATTGATAAATTAGATTATAACAACATTAAAATATTTTG